GGAATGGAAGTTAAATAAATACTACATGCTTGATAAACCCTAAAGCGAAATGTGACAGATACTCACTTGTAGGATTATGCTGCTTTGTTCAATCAAGAGGCACAGGGAAGTTATGGATTACAGAGGTGAAGAGAGAGAGGGAGAAAGATAAAGACAGAAAGAAAAATACTTTTCTTCCCTTTCTTATGAAACTAAATATCCTGTGTTAGTGCAGCACACATTTCAGTGGAAGACTCTTCAGAGAAATGAGTAATTTGCTTGGATATTTGAATATGGGTAATAATGATTTTATCAAAAAGAGGTGGGTTTTTTTCTCAGCCTAGTAATACAGTTTGCTTATTTCTTAGTAAAATAGATGGGTTGGTTTGTTGACTTTTTGGATGGTATTTATTTGTGATATAATTCAGCTAAATCTGGTCTGTTTCACTATGGAAACTTCTACTCTGTTCTTTGTTTTAAAATGAAATAGAAAATCCCATATAAACCCTATAAACTCTTATAGGTGTCACTAGAACTATATATGGTTGTTCTTTGGGTTGCTTAGTCTGCTTTTCATTTCTACACTAAGGCACTACTCCTTGCTCCCTAAATGCTGATAATTTACAAATACTGGATGCTGTTGAGGTTTTTCCCTTTCAGTTTCCACCTCTTTGATGAAAGTCACAGAGCTTAATTTTTCTCCTTTCAGTCATCTACTAAAGAGACTGGAGAACAAATAAATTGAACTATTTTGTTACTATTTTGTTAGCATCTGTTAATACTTTAGAGTATGCTGATCAAACTCTTGCAACTAACAGACAAAAATGGTGGTGATTTTTTTTGTTTTGTTTTTAAGAAAACTCTTTTCCATGTTACAACAGCATAAAATTATTTCTGACCTACTTAAATGCTTTCTTATACATATAGTTTAAAAAGTGTGTATTTCCAAAACAGCCAAAACAAGAACACTACACGACTGCTGCAGTCCATCAGCTCAGGCTCTGAATGGGTAAGTTGTCTTTGTTATCTGCTTTATCTACTCACATATCCTACATGAGTGAAAAGTTAAATATACTAAACCTACTAAAATTCTAGTAAGGATTCTGGGAAACTGGATTCAGGCTCTGTAAGTTGCTCTTCTGGTTTCTTTTCTTTCTTCTTTTCCATGGTTTTTGTTGTACTTGTGCTAGATGTTAGGTCTAAAAGGGAAAGAATAAATGATCAATTAATGACTAATGAAATGTCATATGTTCACCAGCCTTTGCCACTGGTGACAAGTTCTTAACAGTTCTGAAATAAACAAAATAAGGTGTTTTGTTGACAACACTAATCCTGCCCAGGGTAGCACTCAGGTCCATGTTTTTGATGCATCCCAAAACATTGTCCTCAGTAAAGCCATGTTTGTGAACAGTGGCCTCTATCTCTAGTTACTTATCACAGCCCTTGCTGTGGGCTGTGTTTTACATTCTTGTAAATCAAACAAACAGTTGTTCCTCTTCCAGTCCTTTGTCTCTGTTTCTTTACCAGGCTTGTTTTATCAAGTTCACTTGCTAATATGTATGTCTCTCCATCTCCTTCTGTTCTCCTTGCACTGTGAATATTTGCCTTTCACTGCAACTCAGTTTTCATTGTCCAAGCTGGAACAAAACCTCTCTCTGAAGGGATGTGTGTGTCAGCAGTATTCTCTAGGTGTGTTGTCACAATTACCAGCCTCAGAATTCAACTGATAATGCATAGTTCTGTGAGGGAACTGGTAGCATATATTATATAAAATAAAAAAAAATACAAGAAAAGGGCTCTTATGAAGATACCTCACTTTTAGCAGTCACATAATCAAATGCCAAAACCAGATTAGGTTGTATAACATAGGAGGTTTTATTACTGTGTGAGTAGAAACATTGTATATAACCTGTTTTCATATTAAATCGCTTTCCTGAATTTAAGTTCTGAATTCTCACAATTATCGCTCTAATAGCTATAATTGGCACCAACTTGTTCTGTGACTAAATACAGCAGGCTGGGGACTTTTCCTATTAAAACAAGCACAAGGAAACAGAAAGAAAAATAAACAAAACCAAAACCAGTAGAAAGCCACACAGCAAGCCTGCCAAATTGATGCAAAATCAAGAGAATGAAGTTAACCCAATGATTGGCAGATGCACTCTAATCCATGTGCTGGCACATGCCTTCTCGCTGCACTCACCATACCCCAAAGCAAGGCAATGTCAGGTTTCTGTATACAAAATAACTTTATGCCCTAAATGAGTAGGTGACGCCTGCAGATGAAACAAGAGGGTGCTGAGGGCAGGCAGCGTGCTGTACCTTGCAGAAAGGCATGTAAAAGGAATACTCACTGTGTGGCAGCTCTGCAAGGCAAGTGAAAGAAAGGGTAAATGTATCCTGGAGTCTATGTCGCCACACAGCTTCTTAGACCTTGGAATATCTTCTTCACACTTTATCCAGAAGAATTTTACTTGCACTCTGTTGGAAAGCTGCTTGTGAAGATTTTGTCTGTTCTGCTGCTGAAGAAAAGTTTATTGTCAGAGGGACAATTTTCCAGAGCTGTCGATTACTTTGTACAACCTGATTATTTATGTCACAGATACAGCTATTCACAGAAACTTGGCAAATTCTGACTCCCACCAGCAACGTCTTGAACTTCTGAAGTGTCCTAGATCAAAGTTATAATGGTTACTACATATTAGTAAATATTTCTACTGTGGAACTTCAGTACAATCAGGCCTGTGTCACGGTATCACCACAAGACTGCAGTAACCCTTACTGACATTTACCACCCAAGAAAAAATCCTTTTGTGACCAAGCATCCACTTGAGTCTGAAGCCATATCAAGTCCTTAATATTCACATGCAACCTTTGCAGATACCAATTCAACTTAAACTTCAGTTTATTGAATATATTATTTTCCATTAAAAATGGAAAAAAAATAAAAATCCCAACCACACGACTGTAGTAAGATTGAGATTTTTAAAAAAGACCAAGTGAATTAAGGAAAAAATCTCACTGAGACAGGAAGTTAGGTGCTTAACTCCCCTAGACACCGTTGAATTTCCAGCCCAAATACACAAGTGCAGGTTTAAGTATGAAAAAGAACCTGCCATCCTTCTTCAGTGCAGAATTAACTGGGGTGGTATTGATTCCATGTTCATTTGAGCACTTATTTTACTGATTTTCCTCAGAAATGGAATAGCACTGCATCAACCCCTAACCTTTTTCTTTTTTAAATGATCTCTATCCCTTCCACTAAACAGATAACCAAATCCTCTGCTTAAAACTGGATACAAGCTGAAACATTTTGAGCAGCAGTACTTTGAAAAGGATTTAGGGTTTTTTTGGAACTCTCACCTCAGGGGAGCTCCAGTGATATTTATGAAATGCTTCCTGTGTAGGAAACAAGAAGAAAGCCTCCAAGCTGTACAACAAAGTAAAAAAACTCCAATACTATAATAACAGATTTGCTGTGTTTTACAAACCATAGAAAATACACACACACGAGAGAGAAGGAAACATATTTAAGGGGTCTGAGAATTGACTGCAGATTTTAAAACTGTGGGAAAACATTTGCAGAGGGCAAGATTTTTTTTTTTCTCCCAGACAAATAAATCATGAGGCATAACTCTTGACAGACCCCATTATTGCCACCAGACCCCGCTGGTATTGTCACTCTGTACCTAATCCCCCACATACTGTCCCCCACCATCAGAGTGCCCTTCATAGCCAAGCTTTGAAGTATCTTCCCTCACTCTGCCACCACCCACACCCAAATCCCCCTCATGGCACCTGCG